GTTACAAAAATACATCACTTCTACATCAAAATAATATGATGTTCATTTATAATTGAAGAGGTCTTAATACAATTAATCTAAGTTTAAAATACTTGAAATTTTAGACACGATTTAATAATCGAAAGTGCGTTAAAAAGTCACGTTATTCAAGCATTTTTGGCGTGTTAAGATTATAATGTCAATGTTATTCAAATTTCGTTAAAAATTCTTAGTGAAACAAATAATAAAATTTTATATTTAGTGAATCTAATTTTTTTTTTTTATTCTTAAGAGGCTTATATGTTTTAGTAATAATGTGAGATTTTCATAAGAAAGTAGGGAAATTAAATTCCTATTTAATTTGAAAATGTAATTTTTGTCAATATAAATAATCAAGAATTGTTTTACCCAGTACGTTTCAAATGCTAGAATTATAAAACTCAAAATTATATTTTCATTTTCTATCAAAATTATTGTCATTCAAGTATTACGTTTTAAGTTGTAACCACTTATAGTTATGCAGCACCATTTTATACTATGAAGTTTCAAATTGAAACATAGATAGGAGTTAATAGCGTTTGTGATTTTCCCTCAATTAACATCTAATATGTAACCTTAGAGATGTATATGTTTATCAACAATGCTATAGAGCTCTAAAAGTAGAACTCTAAAAAGAGCTCTACTGAGCTGGCAGTCCCAAAAAAAAAAATAAAAATAAAAAATAAAAAAATTTCAAGCTAAAGCATCACATCAAACTGGACCCCACACACTTCTATATCATTAGTGCATGGTTTAGAGCTCATTTCCTAGAGCTCTCAAGCATTTTTCTATGTTTATTGAGGAGTATCCTATTTCAAACTACTTTATTATTTTTTTTTAAAGTATGTCTCTAGTGATGCAATAAACTGGTTGCAAGACCTCGATAAAAGGAGAAATTATTAGTGGTCTTGGAGTATTTATTCATACAATTCGCGTTTACACAAATATTTAGGTCAAGTTTGGCATGAGATAAAAAAGATAAAAAGTCAAAAAGTCACTATCTTATTTAAGTCACATCATCTTATTTAAGTCACATCACCTCTCTAACACATCACTTCAAACCCAACCCAAACTCAACCCATATTTCATAAAAAGTCAAAAAGTGCACTTATTTAGCCTTCCCAAACTAGGCCTTAGTCGTCTATGGAAGCAAAAAGATGGTAGAACCGTGGAGTAAATTATAAGGAGTCACCCCTAGAAGTTGGAACAAAGTCAAAGACACGTGTAGGGGAGAAATTCTATTTTTACACATCAACTTATCTCAGTCAAGACATTTAATAAAATTTTATTTTAATGACAATTATACTCTAAAATAAAACAAAAATGATTTTACCCCCGAAATCCCCCTCCCGAACAGCCCGAAAGAGAGAAAGAGAGAAAGAGAAGAGAGAATGGAGAGAGAGAGAGAGAGAGAGGGCCCCTCCTTCGCCTCCGCCTCCGCCTCCCCCTCCGTCGCCGCCGATCGATGGCAAATCGACCAGCCGATCGTCGCAGCAGCTCCGATCGTCACAGTCCCGCCTCCGCCTCCAGCCCGATTTTGTTGGCCCCCTCCCCTCCAGTTATTCTTCTTCTTCTTCTTCTTCTTCTCCTTCTTCTTCTGATTTTCTTCTTCTTCTAAAAAAAAAAAAAAAAAATTCAAAAACGACGTTGTTTTTTGAATTCGGGAAATTCGGGGGGCTCAAATTCGAGCTACCAATCACTTCTCAAAATAAAATGACCATAATAAATATCAAAACTTTATCCAACCTATCCCAGCCCATCTCTTCTCTCCTCTCTCTTTCTACCATCAACAACAAACTTTCTACTTCTCTTATGCTTTGCTCTCCTTCTTCTCCTCCGTCACCAGCGTCCTTCCTGTCCTTCATTTCCAGGGTCTCTCTCTCTCGGCATCTTTCTCTGGTGAGTCTATCCCTCTCCGGCATCATCCTCCTACTTTATCTCTCTAAAATCTATTGATTAACATGAGGAGTTTTGCTTCAAAACTTCCAAAGCAGCACCAAAAATGTACCATTGAAAGGTATCAATTGAAATTATGAACCAACTTACAAATAGATTTACATGATTTCAAGACAAATCCACATCAAATCCAATAGAGAAAAAGTGTGAGAAACACATTTCAAACAAAATCCACGAGACAAAACAAACATTTCACAACAATCCAAGTGACAAAAAAAAAAAAAAAAAGGTTCCAAGCAAAGAACACCAAAAAGAAATAGATTTGGCAGTGAGAAGCCCGAAGGGTGCCAGCGGTGGGGTGGTCAAAATCCATTGGGTCTTGTGGTTCTTCTCTCTAGAGGTTGTGTGGGTGTGTGTTTGGGTGAAAAGTGTGTGTGTGCAATATTTGAGTTAAGGATTATAATTGAAATATGTGGTGTGTGGAATGAGATAAAGAATATCTAATCAAATTCATAAGTGTGTGTACTGAGATAAGTAGGTGTATAAAAATAGAATTTCCCCATTTAAAGCTCTATCTATTGTCAAATTTTAAAAATAAAAATAAATAAATAAACATATTTCCGTCCTTTTGTTTAGCAAATTAAAAAAAAAAATCTTTATAAATGTTATTGCCACCATTACCACTATCACCATTATAGCAATGGCCATCATCCCCGTCATTACCACTACCACTATTTTCATCACCATTATCATTATTGTCATAAGTATTATTATCATTTCACTATCATTACCACAATTGCAATTATTACTATCACGATCACTCCAACCCACACCATAACTACCATCATTACACCTAGAGATGAAATTAGGAGACGATTTTAGGGGCCATGACCCCCTTATTTTTGTGAAAAATTATATTTATCATACAACTTCTCAAAATATATATCTTATTTTATAAATAAAATAATTTCTCAATATAAAAAATATATATAATTATTCTCTTATCTTGCATTCTCTTTTTATTTTGTATCAAAAATATTTCTTCATCTTATTAGAGATTGTTTATATGGTGTTTGAATTTTTTTTTGTTTCTATATATATATATATATAGCATTGTACATACATATGAGTTTATGTATATAATAAAAAAATATTATTTATCTTTTGACCCTTCTAATAATAAAGGAAAATTAGCCGTAGCTCGAAATTGGCTCGAATGTTGTTTTGGGCGTTTTTGGGTGGTCTGAAACAGAGGAGAAAGAGGGAGAGAAGAGAGGAAGAAGAGAGGAGAAGAGAAAGAGAAGGGGAAGAGGGAATGGAGAGAAGAGAGGGCCCCTCCGCTTCTGCCGTCGGCCGAGCCCCTCCCATTCGTCGCAGCACCAGCGATCGTCTTAGCACCACCGCTGTCGCCTCCGGTCCCGCTGAGCCCCTCCCCTTCGTCGCAGCACCACTGCCGTCGGCCGAGCCCCTCCATTTCCTCCTCCTCCTCCCTTCTCTTCTCCCCTTGTGATTATGCCCCCTCCAGTCCTAGTCCTCTTCCTCCTCCTCCTCCTTCCTTCTCTTCTCCTTCTCTGCTTCTGAAATTGGATTCGAGCCAATTTCAAACTCGACAATTCAAACTACGTAGCAGTTTCGAATAATAAAATCCTAATTCTATTGTTTATTACACCATCACTGCCATCCCCTTTTATCTTCACTACATTATACCTTTATCATCATTACAACCATTATTCCTCTAGTTCTACCATCATTATCATTGATACCATTGCCGCACACCAAGGATCCTCTAGAGTGAAATTTCCCTAAAGTTTCCTAGAGTGCTATATTGTGTGGTTGAGATTTACTGGCAAGTCACATCAGAAAAATTGATGTGACTTGCCAGTAAATCTCAACCACACAATGCAGTACTCTAGGAAATTTTAGGAAAAAATCACTTTAGAGGATCCTTGCTCATTGCCGCAACCGGTATCACTGCTTCTACGGTCAGCTTAACATCACAATATAAAAATTAGAACATTTAATTTTAAATTTAATTTTGTATCTAATAAAAAACTTATTAACGTCAAAAAAAAAAAAAAAAAAAAAAAACTTTTTTTCACTTAAAAGTTTTCAGCATCCGCCTTTCAATATGTAATTTTCAAACCTTAGTCTAAGTCTACAGGAACAATTTGTATCATAGGTTTCGTTTGGAATTGACTTTTTGAACTAAATTAGTTACAAAAAGATAAAATAGGCTAAAAAATTAATAAGGTAAATTATAAACACACTCTCTGAGGTTTACTTAAATTACAAATTACCCCTATAATTCCAGAAATTACATTATGTCCTTAAGGTTTCTAATTTCATAACAAATAGATTCTTTTATTAATAAATCATTAAGTTAATTAATAATTTTTAATAATGTTAAAATTTTATTTTAATTAATAATTCAGATAATTTTATTATTATATAAGTGAACAGTTAGAAATTTTACTTTTTAAATTAATTATGTTAAATAAAAAATTCTGATAATGAGGTATTTATAATTTTTCAAATCACAAGGGGCAATTCGTATTTTAAGTAAATCTCAAAAAATATACTTGTAATTTATCTTAAGATAAAATATCATATTCAAATCATAATCATTTTATTTTTTTTTATAAAAAAAAAAAAAACTAAAAAAATACATCCAAACAAACTTTTCAACCGGATTTAAAATAGTTAAAAAGTGAACTAAAAAAAAGGCAGTTGCCAAACAGTAGCATAATCTTTTTCCAACTGATCCACAGAAGAAGATAACGAGCAAGGATCCTCCCTTTTTCTTCCTTACTTTACTTTCTCCTTGTAATAGTCAAGGTTTATTTTAAGAGAATTTAATGGTGAAAATCATTTTAAAAAAATTATTTTTTAATTTTTAATTTTTTTAATAAAGTGATTTGAGCCATTAAATTATTTTAAGATGAAACTTAACCATTAGAAGAGGAGAGTGAAGTAGGAAAGACAATGAGAGAATTCGAAGATAACATATAGGTACAATATTTCCCAACTAACCTAACCCACTAACACAATCAAAACCCCCTCAAGATACAAATTCCAGATTACAAAAATCAAACCAAGCTAGCAGAGTCAGGCAAGCCTTGCCGGATATCACCTTCACCGCCGTCCGCCGCCGCTGCCGGTGGCCGTGGTGGTTTCGACCTCCTCGTGCCAATAAAAGCCCGACAAACCGGACAATCAGAGTGCGAACAGAGCCACATATCAATACAAGCAGAGTGAAACAAGTGCTTACATACGTTCACTTCTCTCACAACCTCCCCATCCATAAACGCCGACAAACACACAGGACACTCGCCGCCGTGCGGCGCCGCCTTGTATGTCACGCTGGAAACTAGGTGGTCCGTGTTATTGGCAATTGGGTTGTGGGTTCTTGGATTTTCGGCGAGTTCGCCGGAGATCCGGCCAAGCCTGGTGACAGGGTTTGGAGGGCACTTGATGGCAAAGAAGGCGGCATACATGAGAAAGATTACGGCGACGAGGATGAGGATGGAGAGGAAAGGGAAGGAAGGTGAGGCGTGGTTGGAGATGGAAGAGTGGGTCGCCGGAGGGAAGGAGATGGGTGCGGTGAGAAGCGGCGGTGGAGGGGTGTGCATGGTGGAGATAAGGTGGTGGTGGTAATTGTTGCAGTTTTTTTTTCTTTGTTTTGTTTTTTGGGAAGTAGCTAGCTACTAGCCGGCTTAGAAATGTCGAATTCTTGATCAAATAATGGAGCAGTGCTGTCTCGATCTTGTTTGGCTTTTAATAAGAATGATTATATTGCTTGAGTTAGGTTTGGTTGAATGACTTATTTTTTATTTTTTTATAAAAAAATAAAAAGATAATGTGATGAAAAAAAATAAAAAAATAAATTATTTTGTATACGTAAAACTTGACTTAGTTGACAAATTTTAAAGTACCATCAGACTGCTACCCATAAGGGCAATCGCATCAGCATAAACAAAATAATAAAAAATTAAAATATATTTAATAAATCACAAAATTATTCTTTCATTAGTCTTAATAATTTTTTTCTAAATTAACATTTTATTAAATTTGTTATAGTACCTCAACAATTTTGTTGAGGCACTGTTCATTCGTTATATGATTTTTTATTATATTTTCTGTAGTAAAATTGGGCCAAAATCTTTAAGTCAGTCGTCCACTCAGATGTCCCGTGAGTGCCTATAGCAAAAGAAGGAAAAATACAAAAATTAGACTAATCGATAGACTGGCAGGTGCACCGGCGGGTCAACCAGCCGGTCGATCGGTCAATGCCATTTTTTATTTTTATTTTTTTGCATTTTTTAGGGATTGTTTGGGTGGTACCTCATCAATTCAATAAAAAAAGAAAGAATAAAAAATACAATAACAAAATAATATTTTAATAAGATTGAGTTATGATAGAGAGATTGATGCAGTGAGTGACTAGCTAAAATAGCAAAATAGGTTTTCCAACTTTAATTTGACTAAAAATTTAAAAAGTCTGATGCCGATGCTCTAAATGGGTTAAATTAGGCCCATTTTGGAATTTGAATTAAAAGCAGAAAAAGCTATTTTTTATTTTTTATTTTCAGGTTACATCACATTTTTATTTTTTTACATATTTTTTTAAAAAAAATTAAAAAAATCAAAAAATTAATTTTCAACTTACTTCCTAAAATAAATCTTACTCTCACATCTTGGATTTGGGGTGCCTAATGTGCCCTTAGCACAACAGACACTACTGTATTGTCTTGTGAGTTTATTTTGGGATCCATTTTGATGATTCAAATCGTTCATATTTTAAAGTAAATCGAGTATAATATATTTATAAAAAATTAAATTAATCGGATATCATTAACCTTTTTATCCATTCACATTTATATCTACAAAAATAAATGACATTATGATTTAAAATATTAAAATGAATACAAATGTGCATGGAGAAAGGGTTAAAAATATCCAATTAACTTGATTTTTGGTAAGTATAATTTACTCAATATACTCTAAAATATAAACGGTTCGGATCATCAAAACGAATCTCAAAATAAGCCCATAAAGCAGCACATCAAGCATGCCAAATCCCTTTTTCTTTTCATTTGAGTTGTGGACTAATGGAAAAGTCAAAATATATATGTATGGGTTTTAAAAAAAATTGGTTATTTTAGTAAACTATTTTAATTTTAGGCAAATTTCACTTTACCTCCTATGTTTTGAGCCGCATAACTCCCACATAGTATGTAGACCAAAACGCACACTAACTTTTGTTACCAGTGTCGGACAATCTTCACTGTATTTAAATAGATTAAATTCTTTTGTGTACAAAACAACAACAAAAATAAAAGAAATAGATAAAAGGAGAGAATTTGGTTGATTACACAAATCAAACTCAAAATAAAAATAAATAAATAAAACCACAGATTTTATTTTGTTACAAAAACAAAATTAAAATCTGATTAAATAAACAAATAAAAAACAGAATAAAATTAAACAACTTACTTGGTTAATTTATTTGAATAACTTTTCTGATCAAGTCCAGTGTTTAACACTGTGTCCTTAAGACAGATTCGTCCTCTCCACGGTGCTTTCAGAATTCGGACGTCTATCTCCCAGGATGAAATGATCTACCACAAACAATAGCAGCACTACTAACTGTTTGCCTTACGAACACACTAAGTGTTTACATGAGATTAGATTAAGAGCTGTGACATTTGAGTCCGAACTGTAGTAAGCCCAATGAACAAAACGGGATTTCCTGGGGCGTTCGCGTTCGTCTACAGTTTCTGGCGACTTTGCTGGGGATTTAGAGAATTTGACTCAAACTCATGATATCTTGTTTTGATTACACTTATGTGTTTCTTTGCATTGTTAATTTGTGACGGGAGTCTTGTGATTTATTAAGTCACATGTAAGTGTGTGTGAGATCTATATTAATACGGTAATTGTATATTTTAAAACTTCCCACCAAATCAATGTGGGACAAGCCAATTTACAACTTTAAGGAATTTCCACCATAACTCCATTTCCATGGAGCACACTTTGGCTTCAATTTCCCATTCACTCGATAATGGTTTTGAGTAACCAAATATACCACGTGAATCACAATGCGGCATAGAACGCGTTACCACTTTGACCAGCGAAAATCGACGCTTGGGTCCCACCTAAAAATTAGACCAAACTTAGGAAAAATTCTGGTTTTACCCAGAATTTTATAACCATTTCCAACAATCCCCCACATGAATGGAATTTGATGACAACGAAAATGAAACAATATGCAGACTTTATCGAAAGAGTATAAGTCGAAAATATCTTGCATTAGGATAGGTAGCTTTCGGCCTTGAACCTTCCCTAGTGATAACCTATCGGACTTACTGGCTAACCAATGGACGCGATGCCTTGAATTGTTCAGCCGTTTATGTAAGCCAAAACAACAGATTTCACACAAAATATCATCTAACACATCGTGGTTCTCACTGTTGTGTTCATTTTGGCCTTGAACGCTCCTGGTTTTCTTAAGTGTTTCTAGAGAATTTAGCCTCTTTATTCTCATAAAACCGGCCCCAGTTCGACACTCATATAGGTGATTCTTATTGTGAGTATCTCCTTATACTCGTCTTGATTTTATACCTTAATCAAGATATAAGTAATCATTAAAAGCAAGGCTTATCCTTATACCCCTGCATACAACATATATTGCAGATATCACTCTCACCATAGGAATGGGTAGGGAAATTTTTTTTTTTTTTTTTAATCCCTTGGAATCTTTTGAGTGTAGAATTTATTTAAGCTTTATAGAGACGAGAACATTTAGTTTTTTGGTTTCACTCCTAGGATTTGGATGATGGAATATTGATTAGGGTTTAGTCCTAATTTAATATATAATTGTCCAAATTTTGGGGCGTGACAATGTCTAAGTTAGACGTAGGCAAGAATCAGGCGATGTTCTTATAATAAACAAGGCGATTAACTTAGACTTGCCATATTGGTAGAGTTGAACTAAGTATAAGACGATGTTTTAATATGAAACAAGATGAAACTAGCCATGTTTTGGTTGGTTTGTGCGAAAAGTACTGTTAACAGCAATGTTTACATTCGACGACGAATATGTCGTGACTTACCGTTATATATGTGATTCTGTGCCCTGCCTATTGCAGATTGACTATCACAGTGAATGCAAATAGCTGGCACAGGTTTTTGGCCACATTGGAATGTCTTCTAAGAAGTGACGAAGCCATTCTGGTTCTTCTCCTGCTTTGTCTAAAGCAATGAACTCGGATTCCATTGTGGATCGTGCGATGCATGTTTGCTTGGTGGATTTCCAAGAAATAGCAGTGCCTCCTAAAGTAAAGACATATCCACTTGTGGATTTTGAATCTTTAGTATCCGATATCCAATTTGCATCACAATAACCTTCAAGTACTGCTGGATATTGAGTAAAGTTCAAACCATAATCACGGGTGAATCTTAGATATCTAAGAACCCGAATGATCGCTTTCCAATGGTCTTCTCCGGGGTTACTAGTGTACCTACTCAATTTACTGATAGCATAAGCTATATCAGGACGAGTACAATTCATTAGGTACATTAGGCTTCCAATGATTTGGGAGTATTTTAACTGAGACACTGCATCACCTTTATTTTTCGATAAATAAAGACTGATGTCTACAGGTGTTCTAGCTAAATTCAAATCATCCGTGATAAATTTGTCAAGAATTTTCTCAATATAATGAGATTGAGATAATGCATATCCGTCAAATGTTTTAGTAATTTTTATTCCTAATATAACATCTGCGACCCCCATATCTTTCATATCAAATCTTTTGTTAAGCATCTGCTTAGTTGATTTGATCATGTTTTGACTGCTTTTAATGATAAGCATGTCATCCACATAAAGACAAATTATGACATATCCTTGGTCAGTGTTTTTTACATAGACGCATTTGTCACATTCGTTTATCTTAAACCCATTAGTAAGCATTGCATGATCAAATTTTTCATGCCATTGCTTAGGTGCTTGTTTTAATCCATAAAGGGATTTTACAAGTCGACAAACTTTCTTTTCTTGTCCTGATACTACAAACCCTTCGGGTTGTTCCATATAGATCTCTTCATTTAGATCACCGTTTAAGAAAGTTGTCTTAACATCCATTTGATGTATTTCTAAATTAAACAACGCTGCTATAGCAATAAGCATGCGAATGGATGTTATTCTTGTCATAGGGGAATATGTGTCAAAATAATCCAGACCTTCCTTTTGTCTGTAACCTTTAACAACAAGTCTTGCTTTATACTTGTCAATTGAACCATCTGCTTTCATTTTTCTCTTGAATATCCATTTATATCCAAGAGGTTTAGAACCTGGCAAAAGATCCACCAATTCCTAAGTATGATTTTGCATAATGGATTTAATTTCATTATTAACAGCCTCTTTCCACAAAGGTGCTTCAGGACCTGCCATTGTTGCCTTAAAGCTTTGAGGTTCATTTTCTAAGAAGTATGTCAGAAAATCTGGACCAAAGGATTTTGATGTTCTCGCTTTTTTACTTTGTCTTGGTTCATCATTAGTTAAATCCTGTTGGTCGAGACTATTACTAGTCTTTTTTGTTTGATTGTCATTAGTCTCTTGACTTTGTGTACAATCATAAGTTCTTTTCTATGAACTTAATTCCTGTCCTTTCTTTTAAGGAAAGACATGTTGTAACCAAGTGTTAACTTGGAAAGCTGTAAGCCCGTAGGGCATTTTGTTATGAGGTTAACATGTAATACTTATGTCTTGGAATTCTAATGAATGAAAGGAATGTGGTTAGTTTATATGTAAATGCGTGTCTTATCTGATGGGTTTAATGTTATTATTTTGAGGGCGTCATGAATCCTTTCTAACCATTGTATACAATATCGTGAGAGCCTAGGTGTGGTTCATATGATTAACAAACACGTGCCGAAGTAAGAACACAACCAATCATGCATAAATCCAAGAAACATGTATAAAACAGAAAATTTCAGCACATAAAATTTACTTAAATGTGCCAAAACAAGGTTTAGAGAAGCAATAAAGCCCTTGCTTAAGAACACAACAACATTTCACATGACTTCTTTGCATCGTGTAATACAACATATTGAACAACAACAGCTCAATAAAAAATACTTGTAGCCACGCTGAATGGGCATGAATAAATATGTTTTGAAACCCATTAAATGAAAGAATGCATCAACAAGAAGCCATGGCAAATTAGATGCAGTTTTGTATATAAAACTTACCTGCTGAGCAAGTCTCTAGGTATTTTTAGTTTGGTTTTAGAAAAATAAAAATAAAACACATGGGAGTACACAATCAGGTAGATTTCAATGGGGAAAAGAAAAACAGATATTTAAATTAATCTAAATGCAAAGCTTCGAGCCAATCAAGCATTTCACACAAACAGAGTACATAAATAGTTTTCTTGGGAACAAATCGAAGCAGCAAACAATCAAGAAATATTTCATAAAAAAATAAAAAATAAAAACCAGATATTAATAAAGATTCATCTAGAACAAGAACTGAAATATAACCAATAAAAACCTTAAAACATATTTTTTCAATTTTATTCTCAATCAATCTGGAACCCAACTAGGTCTTCATACACTCACACACACACTCAAGCAGGTGTTTGTGTCAAGCCAATGGAATATAAGCAACAACAAGCGCAAAACAATGGATAACTAGGCTGAGACAAATTGAAAGGAATTCTGTTATGCATCTTCCTACCCATTAGTGGAAGAATTTCATTTAAGGTCAAACCATCATAAGGTGTATTACATGGGAGGATTTTTAATTCGAAACAAAAACAAATTATCAAAGAGAAAAAGAGAGGCAATCCCAGAACTTCAGAGGAAGAGTTTGAACTCAGCATTTATGAAGCACGGGTACTCCAAAAATGTTGTCGTACAAGTATCGAGTACTTCTTGGGTGCGGGTACGCATACCAATACGGCTGCACGCGTACTGGGTAGGCCAAAAACGCACCGGGTACGTTTTATACGGTTAGTATACATATGGGTACGCCATGAGTATGTTTTGGATACTCGGGGTAAAAAATGAGACTTTTAATAAATTAACGGGTATCGGAGCAATTTTTATGTTTATATTAAAGAATTATAAAAACCTAGGATTCTTTTGTAATAAATAAAGCATAAATAAAACATGAAACCAAATAAAATTGTTCTTTATTCTCTCCTTATCATTCGATCATCTCAGCTCCTTCCATATCTCATTCCGAAATACTCCAAGACTGAAGAACTTCGAAGGTACTAGAGTTCCATGTCTATTCGGTCATCTCCTTCCAGAAATACTCCCAAGAGAGTCTGAAGAACACTTCGAAGGTGCGATTGAAAGGTTTAATCGAAGGTGCGATTGAAGGGGTAAGTTCATCTTCGATTCTTTCCCGTTTTCTTCTTCGATTCTTTATCCTCTTTCTTTCATTTTTTTTTCCTTCAGATTTTTGTGCTGTTTCTTCGCTGCAAACGATCAATTCTTCTTTCTCTTTGGTTTTCTCTTTCTTTGATCCTTCATCTTCTTCTTCATTTTTTTTTTCTGTTTCTGATATATGTCTAGATTTGTTGAACTAAGATCCGTGCTTATTATTTTTTTTCTGATATATGTCCAGATTTTTGAACTAAAATCTGTCCAGATTAGTTGAACTAAGATCTGTACTTAATTTTTTTTATTTATTTCTGATATATGTCATTTTATTTTCTGATATATGTCATATATATATGCAATATGATATTGGTTGTAAAGCTTGATGACAAATTAAAATCCCTTGACACCTTAAATTCTCTTTCGTAGCAGTTTATTTTGAGGCGGAGGGATGGGGGATTTGTATCTGAAAAACAGAGCATTAATTTGTGATGCATAACCATTGGTTTTGAGTTAAGTTAAGTTATCTGTCTGTTTCCACATTGGTTAATTTCCTTGCAATGCTTGATGTTGTGGGTGGATATGATTGGTTATTGTTGTTGGACAATCTTCGCTGTATTTAAATAGAATAAATTCTGTTGTGTACAAAACAACAACAAGAATAAAAGAAATAGAGAAAAGGAGAGAATATGTTTGATTACAAAAATCAAACTCGAAATAAAAAATAAATAAATAAATAAAACCACAGATTTTATTTTGTTACAAAAACAAAATTAAAATCTGATTAAATAAACAAATAAAAACAGAATAAAATTAAACAACTTACTTGGTTAATTTATTTGAATAACTTTTCTGATCAAGTCCAGTGTTTAACACTGTGTCCTTAAGACAGATTCGTCCTCTCCACGGTGCTTTCAGAATTTGGACGTCTATCTCCCAGGATGAAATGATCTACCACAAACAATAGCAGCACTACTAATTGTTTGCCTTACGAACACACTAAGTGTTTGCACTCTTTCTTTCGGAAATAAAATGCAGCAAGATGAAGAATATAAATAACAGAAGTGAAATACGAAATTTCTGAATGGAAAACATCAAATGAGGGTGGTCCTATTTATAGATGTGAAGGTGGCTCTTGGTTTTGAATTGAACAGGTATGATACCTGTTGGATTTGAATTCAAACAGATAGCAAAACGGGAAGGGCTCTGTTTGGATGAGCAATAAATCCAAATCCGTTTAATTCTGTTTGAAAACGGGAAGGGCCCTGTTTGGATGAACAAAAAATCCAAACCAATTTAATTTGAATTCTGGATTTTATTTTAATAAAAAATAAAATTAAATTCAAATGTTTTTGGCCCAAAAAGATTAGAAGCCCAACCCAACCACACACCACGCCCAAGCCCAGCCCAGCCCGCCCAACCGGCGGCGGCGGCGCATGTGGTGATTTTTGAGTCCAATGGGTCTAGCCCATTTTGCCCATAACCTCTCCCTCTAAAACACTTGGGTACCCCTTGGCACACACCCCAAGTATCTCACCCTAAGCCTTATAAACCCTTTCAAAACTTCCCACCAAATCAATGTGGGACAAGCCAATTTACCACCTTAAGGAATTTCCACCAAAACTCCATTTTCATGGAGCACACTTAGGCTTTAATTTCCCATTCACTCGGTAATGGTTTTGAGCAACCAAATATACCACGTGAATCACAACGCGGCATAGAACGCGTTACCACTTTGACCCGAGTAAATCGACACTCGGGGCCCACCTAAAAAATAGACCGAACTTTAGAAAAAATTCTAATTTTATCCAGAATTTTATAACCATTTCCAACAACCAGAACATATAAATTGACTATTATACTCTCTTCTTCTTACTCTTCTCCATAATGGTAGAGAGAGAGAGAGAATGGAAACACCGTTTGCAATGACTTTCTCCATTTCAGCTCAAATATGAAGATCACAAATCTCAATTCAGACCCTTCTCTGCTTCACTCCCAATCTCCACCACTCTCTTCTTGTTTGCCCTCTTTTCAACCCCACATGAATCCAAAGATCTTAGCCTCTCCAGAGATCAAATTGTCTCTTCTCTCACCCAAATAAGTCCCATAAACTTACACAACTCTATCTCTTAAAGCTGATTTTATTTTTATTTTTATTTTTTCAGTTTTAATTGATACCCATTTGATTGAATTGCTTGTTTGTGCTTGAATTTTAGGTGGAGAAGACCATTGATCAAGTTCAGGAAGTGGGTTCAAGTTTTTCCGATGTGGCACAGCATGTTTTTCGAGGTGCACACCATGTGTTTGAACAAATACATTAAGGCATTCACCGACATGCACACCATGTGTTTGAATTTGGGCTCGTTCCGTTGTGGTAAAAGGCTACTAACAGGAGAGATTAAAGAAATGGAGAGAGATGTGTTTTATGTATATATATGTGTGTGTACACATGATCAAGAAAAATGGATTTCAGAAAAATAGGTTTGAATTTATATATGTGAACTGAGTTTGTATATGATCAGAAAAATGGGTTTGGATTTATATAAATATACAAACATATATATATATATACTAATGGTAAATCCGTGCTATGCACGAGACTGATTTATAGTATATAAATTTTTTAATAATGCATCAAATTCTAAATTCTGTCATAAAATTATAATCATAATGAATAAAGATTATCTTCTCAAATTTCATAAGTAAAGACAATAATTTAAAAAGAAGATATGCACAAAATGTTATTATAATTCAACTGATCTATTTTTCTTGAAATAATAAACTTGATTTCTAACTAATGAAATAATACTAACAATAAATAAGATATTTCTCAATAACCCTAATGTCTAAAACATATATATGCTAAAAAGAATTACTAATAAACTGAATGTCATAAATCTATCTATCTATATTTGTTATGGGTTTATATATTTTTTTAATTTATATATATGGTTATAAATATTTGTGAGTTTGTAATTTTTTTTTATCACTTTATGCCAAATATATTTTTTATTTTTAAAAATTTTAAAATTGAAAATTTCTAGTTAATGCTTGAAGCTCTTGTAAAAAAATAAAAATTCAAATAAAAAAAATCAAAATTTTAAATTAGATTTGTTTAGATAGACTTTAAAAAAAATAAAATTTAAAATTAGATATTGAGAGATAAAATAAAGATTTTAACTGAACATATAGGATCAAATTTGTTAATTACGAAAGATTTTAACTGAAGCGAGATAGATCAAATTTGTTAACTTTATCTATTAGTATATCAATTTTTTTTTTTTACGTTTATTTAAAAAAAATAAAAATTTGGAAAATTAGTAAAGGGGACTTGAGAGAATACCAGTAGGAAAGAAAGTGATTAAGAGTTAGTATTAAGGGTTTGGAGGCCTTTCATGTTTCATACTACATTCTTATAATATATAAGAAGATAAAAGAAAATGAAGGGACTGAACATCTTATAAATATTTTATTTTTATTTTTTCATATGTACCAAAATCACACATTAATATAAGTAATTTTGTCTTTCTTATTTGGTCCTTAGTTTATTTTATTTTATTTTTATTATTATTATTATTATTATTTATTATCTAAGATTAATGTTTTAACCATTTGTCACACATGACCTCAAGCTAACACTTTAGCAAGAAAGAAAAAACAATGGTGTGCTTATATCTATTGGACTAAGAAAAAATTGTGCCAAAAAAAATTAAAATACAATTAACAATAGTGAACACTCAAATAGAAAAACTCTCCATCTCATAGACACCATTTTTACGATTCAAGATTCTAGTTATACACACACAATAAACAAAAACAAAAACAAAAACAAAAATGGAAAGAAAGAAAAGGGCAACAAAAACAGAAGTGTCCTCTTTATATAGGAGTCTTTGATGAGTTTCTTATTGACATATTGTTTTAAGACTCGTTGGCCATATGTGCTTCCAAACTAAAATTTCTTCCTTATGGTAAAACTTTCTAATTCTTCTATAAAAGCTATCTATTTGATCGTTCCAGTAATTCTCGATTATCCTTCTCATTTATTATTGTTTGTTCTCCTTGTGACTTAGGAGTATTGTTTGAACTTTAGCACTATTGTAACTTGTAAAATACTAAATTTTCTCAAATATAAGAAAAAGAAAAACATATACAAAAAAAGAAAAAAAAAATTGACAGATTGCTTTATTGATATGGAATACAAACACAAAAATTCTATGTAAAGGAATTGTTTTGTCTATATAATAAGTGAAACATATAACTCAAAAACTTTGAAAGGGTTAAAAAATAAATAAAAGGGCAAATTACATATACCCCCTCGAGGTTTGGCTAAATTACAGATACCTCCCTGAGGTTTCGGGAATTACATCCCGCCCCCTGAGGTTTGTATTTTCATAACAATTTGCCACATGAGGTTTATATTTCATAACAAATTACCCCCTAAATTCTTATGCAAATATAGCATTCAGGGGGGAATTCGTAATTTCTCAAATCTCAGGGGGGTATCTGTAATTTAGCCAAACCTCGAGGGGGTATATATAATTTGCCCTAAATAAAAATAAAGCAATGGCAATCTCTGATGTATCATATATACCAATCTCTAACTTTCTTACGGAATGGCCATCTAGGCAGTACCAATCTAACTTTCTTATGAAATGACCATGGAGGTAATGGTGACAAATAAGGGCAAGTTTTTTGGGAGAGAGATATAGTCATATTTTTATTTTTTTATAAGAAGCAGTGTGAGATTGAAACAAAAATGTATCTATATATAAGGAGGAAAGAGAGACATGTGAGAGAGGAAGTCATGTGAAAGGACATTACTTTAATTGAGATAAAGGAAAGAGGTGATAAGAGAGTTTTAAAATTTTTAATTTATCTAAAGTGATAAATATATATTTTTTCTTATATATTTCATGTGGATTTTTGTCTCTCCTCTATTTTGGCTAGAAAAAACAGGGTGAGAGAGGAAGAAGTGCCACCTCATTTTTTTAATCTCTCAAAATTATGAGAAATTAGGATTAAATAATTGATAGTCTGTGAACTTCCACTACATTTGCTTATATAGATAGTATAGATAGATAGATAGATATAGATATATAGGTAAAAAGATAGATATCAAATCTAATTTGAAAAAAGATAAAAGTAAAACAAACATCCTTAAAAAAAAAAAAAGAGAGAGAGAGAAATGTGAGAATTCAGTTGTTGATAATCAAAATTTTTAAAAAGATAAGATATTTATGAGAGATTATGTATGAGTAGAAGATAATTTAATTTTTGTTATATCGAAATGAAGGCATATATATTTTCTTGAATAGTAACAAAATAAATTTACTTTTTTAATAAAGTTGTAATAGAATAAAATATATTTAATTTTTAAATTGCATGCTTGATGATAATTTTTTTTTAAAAATACATTGATAGAAAATTTTAAAATTGATGTAGTCAATTGTTATCATTATAACCAAAAAGAATTTAATAGTGGTCAATCGTTAACCAATAATTTTGGATAAAATCATGGATAGCCAATAAAAAATCAACACTTAGCAACTTAAATTTTGTAAAAATTTAAAAAAAAAAATTGGAAAATTCAGAAAAAAAAAGTTTGCAATTCCACAAAATGAATAGTTAAATATTTTAATTAATTTAAAATTTAATTTAAATCCAGTATATTATGCATGTGTAATAATCAAAAATTTAGATAATACACTAATAGATTTGAGAATTTTTTTTCTTAAATATTGAAAAAAAAAAAAAATCCAAAATTTTAAATTAGATATGTTTAGATAAAATTTAAAGATTTTTAAAATTTTAAAATTAAATATTGTTAGATGTACCAATCACTTTAAGCCAAATATAATTTTGTTTTCAAAAATTTTAAAATTGAGAAATTATGTTTAAGGTTTGAAGCTGTTGTGTGTGTTTGTGTTGTTAAGTGGGTGTATATTGGTTAGAGATGATCCGAAGAACTCTCATTTGAGAGAGCTTGAAGGAGCAAAAGTGAGATTAACTTATGCAGAGCTGATCTTCTTGATTTCGAGAGTTTACGCAAAGCCATTAACATGTGTGATGGTGTGATAGACATGAGATAAAGTAAATTAAATTAAATTCAAGATTTGATGAGTTTCGAATATGATTAAATTGAAAAACAAAAGCAAATTACAAATTAAAAAGTAAGCAAGCCCAAATCGTGCGAAATGTAATAATGAAGAAGATGAAAAGATATGTAGATAAATTGCAAAATAATGGAAAAAAGAAATATATATATACACAAAAGTAATAAACACTGAAAAAATACATATAAAGTAAGAAATAATATTATGAGCATAAAAATGAAGAAAATGAAAAGATATGCAGATGAATTAAAAATATTTAAAAATATATATACACACAAAGTAACAAACATTGAAAAAATACATATAAAGTAAAAAATAATATTATACTGACATTGTAATGATTTTTTGCAAATAATCAAACTTGCAAAATGTAACAATGGAGAAGATGAGTTATTATGAGAAAATAAAAGATGTCTGGAATAAACTGAATAGAGAAATGTGCGTGTCGAAGTTGTAGGAGTTGTCGGTTTCTTTTCTTCTTTTTTTTCTTTTAAATTGAGATTGAGAGTAAGATAGATATTATTGTAAGTGATGGATACAGATGAATATTTTATTATTTTGGGATAAGTATTATTATGGGTGATGGATATGGATGAATATTTTATTATTTTTTAATTTTATATTTTATATAGGGAGAAGGAGTGAGAAGGCTTGAAGAGTGGGAAGGGGGGGTAAAGGGAAGTGCCACGTATTTTTTTTTTTATACAAAATTATGAGAATTTAGGATTCAAGTTTTAGAGTCCTTTGACTTAACAACTACATTTGGTTATATCGATAGTATAGATAGATAGATAGATAGATATATGTATATGTATGTACACATGATCAAAAAATATATATATATATATACAAATGGGTTTGGATTTGTATATGTATGCACCCTTTTTTTTTTTCTTTCTAATTTTCCTCCCCTCATTATCTCATATTATCTTATTCTCTTCTTCTTGATGTGTTTGTTTTCTCTCTTGATTATATGCACTCAATTCTTCTTATTCTTGATTCCATCTCTAAATTTAAAGATGTGTTTGTTCAGAGAATTTAAACAACCTTGATTTTGGAGAAACAGTCTTTTTTTAGAGATGTGTTTGTTCATTCTGTGAGAGAGGAGAAAGAAGAAGAATGGTAAGCTTTTGTAAATTTAAAGATGTGTAAGGGATATTTTGGTCATAAAATATAACTTACTCTTTTCATGGACGTGTGAACCTCACAACCTATTAATTTGGATGGAAAAGTAGATGGTGCGTTTTGATCCACAAACCACGTGAGGGTTATGTAATAATTTCCAAATGTCACGGGGGTAATCCGCACTAGCCCCAAAACACATGGGGGTAAAGTGAAGTTTGCCCTTTAATTTTTAACTATTTTAGTAGGTCAAAATAATTGTATTTGGAAAGATGGTTAGATTTTTTTTGTAATTAGATGTGATATTTGTAAAAGAAAAAGTGAAATAATTATGAGTTTGATGTGACATTTTGTCTTATTGACTATTTTAATCTATTTTTTCTTTTAGTGCTATTTTAGTCAAAAAAGCCAAAACTTTTTCTTCCCAAACACGCATATATATATATATATATATATATTTAGGCCATATTGGATTTGCTTTTTTAAATTTTATTTCAGAAATATTTTTAAATAAATAAAAAATAAAAATACTTATCAATTTTATATAATTTTATCTTTTGGGAGGTCAAAAATAATTTTAAAAATTTTAAAATATTTTTTTGACATTTATTTTTATCAAATGAGTTTCTGAACTTTTTTTTTTCCTTAAAAACCAAACATGGTCTTAGTTTTTAAAATTATCCTTCATAAAATGACTATAACTATCTTAAAAGTTAAAAACAGGATGATATTTTTGGAATAAACACTTTAAAAGTTGAATTCAAATCTAATAATTTCATGTCTTCTAAAAAAGTTACGGTCTAACTTTTATAATAACTTTTATAAGGGACTAACAAAATAGGACAAAAAGTATTCAAAAAAGTGAAAGTCTAAGTTAACAAAAATATAACATGAGTATAAAAAAAAAAAAAATTAAAAATTAATTTAGTGAAAAAAATTAAAAATTAAAATAAAAATATTTATCATTTTTATATAAATTTATTTTTTGAGATGGCACAAATAATTTTCAATAAGTTCAAAAAAAAAGTGAAAGTCTAGTTTATATTTCTTTTAAAAAATTAAAAATAAATTTTAAAAATCAAATCAACATGACCATTGCGTTGTTTAAATTTATTAATTAAGAGCACGATGTGATAAATATCACATAATTGAAAAAATGTAGACAAGTTACCTTCGTTAACTCTTTAACAAAATTACGACGAATTGCACTCTTATCCATATAGTATGAGTTATTTATCAATTTCAATATCAAAGAATTTTTTTTTTTTATTTTGACTCATAAGTTATCGTTACTTTAATCCAATTATCAACTTGATCGCGCTTAAAATGATACTATAGAAATTTTAAAAATAAGTTCTCACTTTGATCTCTAAAAAATAAGTTTCTCACTTTGATCTCTTAAAATTAAATTTTCTTACTTTGATCTCAAAAAAAAAATAATAATTAAATTCTCCAACTTTTATCCATAAATCCAAATCCAATACAATTTCAAAATTATCCCAACCACTAGACCCACCTAATTTCCAATCAACTACAAAAATAGGAGGAAGATTTATGTGTAGGTCTTAATAGTTTTATTTATTATCTAATAGGTTTTATAAAAATTAATGACATTTTTCATTAACATTATTAAAAAATATTATTCATTGTTAATTTTCAGTGACAGTTTGAAAATTTTATCCCAAAAAATGTTAATTATAAGTTTTAGTAACAGTTTAAAAAAATCGTCACAAAAAAATGTTATTAATTTTCAACTTTCAGTGATAGTTTGAAAATTTTGTCAAAAAAATAAGTAATTGTAAGTTTTAACGACAATTTATAAAAATTGTGACAAAAAAATTACTAATTCTCAATTTTTAGTGACATGTGTAAAAAATTGTTATAAAAATTTATTTTTAACAACTATTTTATTAAGATTTATTTTCAATAAAACTAATGTGAATTAAGATCTCATTTGACAATATACTATTTTAATAACTTTCTAAATTTTTTTTTAAAAAATAATATAACAATTTATAATAACTTTGTAATTTTTTAATTAAAATATATAGTTAACAACGATAACTTTAGATAGTGTACCAAATTGAAAAGATACTTACGCGTGGAAGGTGCTATTGTAAGTGGATGTCGGCTCACTTTTTACTTTTATTTATTTATTTTAAGTTTACTTTTAAAAATAAGAGGATAAATTACACTTTCCCCTTTAAGTTTTAACTTTATTCACTTTGATCCTTAAAAAATTTCCCTCCCTTTATGTAAAATGATTTTGCCCAAAAAAAAAAAAAACCTTTTATTTTGTTTTCTAGTGTTTGGTTAATACCTAAAATATTTTTCACAATAAAAATCTTAATAAAAAATCAATTACAAAGTCAACTTAAAAAAGAAAAAAAAATTAAAAATAATATTTATATATTATTTTCATATAGAACTAACATAATGACGTGGCAATTATAATCTTACAATAATGCACTATAATAATGAGAATTTTGATTTTTAATGAGGGGATATAAATATGACACATCATTATATATAGATTTCTTTATATAAAAAATTTATTTGTATATCATTAGCTAAGAATAAAATAAGACGAGAGGGTACGAGAGTAGTGAGACTTGATACGTATATCAAGTAATATCAATCATGATGAAAAAAATTAATTTACCAAATTTTTAAGCATAAAATCATTTTACGCTTTAGAATGAATAATATTTTGCTTAATTTTTCAACCAATCAAACAATTGAAATGGGTGAAATATTAAAGAAATAACAGTACAGGGTAGAAGACCAAAAAAAAAAAAAAAAAACTATAAAACATGGGGGTGAACTCCTTGTATGGTAGGGGACAACTCAAAAACTGTAAGAATGCAAGTCTGTGTAATTTTTTATTTTTTTTTGTTATTTGCTTCACTGACATGTAATTCCTCTTAAAATGTTTACATAGCCTTAATATTTTTATTTTTTTGTTTCTCACTTTCTCGTCTAAATTTGTACAGCAAATGCCATGTTGGCAATCACATCACACCAAGTGGCATTATAACATATTATTATTATATAAATAAAGATAAATTACACTTTATCCCATTCAAATTTTAATATTTTTCACTTTCATCCTAAAAAATTTTCTACCACTTTAGGATTAGTTTGGAAATAGACTATTTTAATATTTTTTTAACTTTTTAACTAAAATATTTAGTAAAAAAAAATATTTTTTGGATAATTTATTAGTTTTTTTTTTTTTACAAAAAAAAAAACACAAAAAAAAAATATAAGAGAAACTGAATTTTTGACTTTTTTTATATAATTTTTTAACTTTTTAAATAACTTTTTCACTCCCCTCTAAAAAAAAAAATAAATCAACTTTTCACTTTTTTAACTATTATAAAGAGTCTTCAAACTTACCATCCGAAAGGGCTATAGTTAGTGGTGCACAAATTAGCTAGTAAATCAAAGAACTGAACCAACCTACCCTCTGATCTTTTTGGGTGGGTTTGATTTGGTGTTGAGTACATTGATTTGGTGATGAGTTTTTAAATTATCAACCTAATAAGATTACGTTGATTCTTGGTTAATCAACTGAGAACCGAACCTATATATTGGTACTTTGATAGTTTTACTAATTCCACATGGTAGCAGATGACACCATTGATGACATCTCTTATTTACATTGCCCCCAACAATATTGATCACTCTCACTTTTAAGCCAAAACACACACAGAATAAAAAAGTTAAAGGTTTCAAAAATTCTATCACAAATTTTATTAAATGTCTCACATGAGTTTGGGACCTACATAGAATCCACAATATATGTATCCTACACCCATATAAAACATTTGATAAAATTTTGATAAAATATTTAAGATTTCTAACATTACTTCACGAAGAAACTTAAAACTCAACACATATATACATACAAATCCATCTACCGCATACAGATATACAGTGTCATCACCCTCACTTCTGATTATTTTTTTTTAAAACTTTTTTACATCTACTAGACCTAAAAAAATTTGATTAAAATTATTAGTGAATATAATATATATATATATACCATATTCACTAATAAAAATATTTTAAAAATTCACGTAAAATAAAAAAATACGAGTTAAAAATTAAAAACCAAAGAGAGTGACTAGAATCTGGCAAAGACACCACCATTCTGCAGCAGTGGAGGAGGAGGCAGCACCACCACATGGTGTGGTGGTGACGTCACAATATTTTGCCGCGGCAGAGCCGGCACCACCGCGCCAGCACGGCAAAGCGGGCAATTGGGATGGGAGTGAAGCCACGTATCAATACACGTAACATGAAACGAGTGTCCACATTCCGGCAACACCCGGAGCTCCTCTTCTTCGGCATACTCGCCCAAGCACACGGCACAGAGAGGAGCTTCTTTGGCTTCATTGGTGGGTATATAGATTGTGATTAGTTGAGCTGCAGAGTTGCTGGTGGTGCTGGTGCTGTCATCTTGAGTACTAGTAGTAGTACTTCCCCGAGCGATTCGGGGGCGGTTTTGCGGTGGGGTTGGTGGTGGTGGTGGCTGGTGGCTGCTGCACCAACCTATGGCGATGCAATGGAAGGTTGCAACTATAGCTGCACCGGAAAGGATTCCAAGAATGCCCATGAAGAGAGGGCTGAGTTCGAATTTGTGGTGGTCCATTTGAGAGAGAGGAGAGAGAGGGTATGAGCTAGAGAATATCAAGAGATATGCAGTGAGAATCAAGTGTGACGGTCGTGAATCATCTTTTAAAATTAAAATTAAATAGAGTTAGAAAAATACTACTCAATTAAAATATATACATAAAAACTACTGTCATATATATTGACAAATTTTATGTCAAAATTATGTTAGAATATACTTTTTATTTTAAAATAATGGACTCAAAACTCAGCAATTCATATACTTTATTAACTATAAACTAATAAGTATGGACAAATTAATAAACTTTATTCTAATCAATATATAAGAAGATAATATCAATATCCGAATGAAAAAATATCCTGTGGTACGGACACGGAAAAGGTTGAAAGTGAGTGGGACAAATGTTGCCGTTGCTTGCAGGGTGAGTTTGATAGGGCTTTTTTTGCTATCTTATTGTGTATTTGTATTTGTTCGTTTTTTTAGTACTAGCAAAATTTTGTTTTGATTAGTATTTGTTTAACGTTGGTGACAGGGACACGGTCCACTAACAAATAAAAAAAAAAATTGAGTATATTGATTAATATTTTGGAGGCATATATACCTTAACTATGGATTTAATTGGTATAAAAGTTGTCATTGAAGTGTAATAGAGCGGGAGGATTAACTTGTTCATCGAAAATTATTAACAAAGAAGGCTTAACAGGTTGATATCCTTTTGTTACATGGTTATAATGGAACACTTTTATACATAGATTATTGTTTGTTATTCAAGCCTCGTTTGGGAATAGGCTAATTTAGTAACTTTTTTACTATTTGACTAAAATATGAGTTAAAAAAAATTAATATGATTGGAATAATTTTTTGACTTTTTACGAAAAGATGTGCAAAAAATAGAGAGAAAAGAGAATCTTTGACTTTTTGGTATGGGTTGTTGGCTTTTTAGTTAATTTAATAACTTTTTGACTTTTTGACTAAAAAGGAAGGTTCCCAAACAAGGCCTCAATAGTGATATTAACATGAGATATTACAAATACTATAATTTCAGTAACAATAGGCCATTTTTTTAACTAGGTGTTCAGGTTACTTAGATCAGCTTGTGCATATCTCAATTAATTTTAAGTGTATGAGATTAACGATTAGACAAATCTCTAATAATATTTATGCTCAATATCCTAAATTTTGACCGGTAACATTATGTATGTATGAATTACTATACTTAAAACAGATGCAACTACAACTTGAAAGATTATTTAAAATTGAATGTTTCTATATCGTTTGATAAATTTTATAAAGTTTTTTATTTAAATTTTAACTTATATTTACATAATAAATGTCATATGTACATATAGAACACATCACTAAATTCATAAAATGATTGTGAATTTTATTATTTCGTTAATTCATTAAGTTTTTTAATTTATACTTAAAATTTCGGATAAATTACAAACACACACCTGAGGTTTACTTAAATTACAAATTATCCTTGTAATTCTAGAAATTACCCCTGTAATTCTAGAAATTACATTATGCCCCTTAAAGTTTCTAATTTCATAACAAATAGGTCCTTTTATTAATAAATCATCAACTTATTTAACAGTTTTTAATAATGTTAAAATTTTATTTCAATTAATAATTCAGATAATTTTATTATTGTATAGGTAAACAGTTATAAATTTCATTTTTTTAATTAATTTTGTTAAATAAAAAATTTTAATAAGAAGATATTTATAATTTTTTAAACTACGAGAGATATTTCGTATTTTAAGTAAATTTTAAGGGATGTACTTCTAATTTATCCTAAAATTTATATAACAAATGATGTTATGTAAATTCATAAAGACGTGGTGGGTCCTAATTTTTTTGTCAATTAGTAGGTGCTACACTAATGGTGTGTTTGGTTGGGAGATTTGGGGAGGGATTTGGAAAGGGAAAGGGAAAAGGTGTGTGAAACTATGTGACATGTAAGTATATTTTATTTACATTTCACCTAATTTTTCCTTTTTCCTTTTCAAATCTCTCCTCAAATCCTCCAACCAAACACAACGTAAAGGATAGGCCGAGTACGATTAACAACGGAGACTATGATTGGTCTTTGTATTGTAACCACAAAACAATATCGAATATCCAATTATGGTTTGTTTTGAAAAGTTGATAAAAAAAAAAAATTAGTCTTTTAAATTTTTGATTTTTTTGGTAAAAATGTTAAAAAATTAAAAGGTTGACTTTTTTAACTTGTTGCCAAAAGGCTTCTATAACAATGCTTAATGGAAGTCGGTTATAATTAAGGAAAAATTTGAAAGTTTATAAGATATTTATATATTAATGAAAAAATGTATAACTTTAAGGACAAATTACCAACACTCCTTCGAGATTTGATTAAAATACGGATTCCCCCTGAGGTCTGAGAAATTATATTCCGTTCTCTGAGGTTTATATTTGCATAATAAATTGCCCCCTCATTTGTTATGTAAATATAAACCTTATGGGGCAATTTGTAATTTCTCAAATCTTAGGGGAGAATCTGTATTTTAATCAAATCTCAAGAAGATGTTGGTAATTTACCTTAAATTTAATTATTAGTACTTATAATTTTTTTTTATTGATTTGAAAAATTATATTGATGTGCAGTTTCTCCTATACCAATCGATTTGTCGAGTGGTAAGATTTTGGATGCTATATTCAAAATTTTAGATTTGACTCTTTTTGAGGTGTGATGCAGGTGACAATACATATAATTAATAAGACAAATATTTTAAATTTAGAAAATCCATACCAAGCGTTAAAAGTATGAGTTTGAATCTCCATCTGCATGTGAATTCACAATTTGCCACTAGCACCGCATAAGAGGGACTTCTAGAACCTTAGTTCTTTCAAGGTCCAACTCCAGAAGTTAGTCCTATATAAATAAGTCTTCTTCTTCTTTTATTTTTTAAGTCGGTTATAATTTTCAAACTATACATTACTCTTCATTTGGAGTGAGTCTATTTGTCATTAGTTAGGTTCAAAATTCTTCAAATTTCTTGTTCATAAAAAGTAATTTTTTAAACAACTTCTCAAATGCATTAATTTTTTTAGAATTTTAAAAAAATTGGGGGAAAACCCCCCAATAAAATAGGCAATGCCATGCCAAACTCCATTATGTTTTGTGTGGAAGGTGAAAAACTCAATGAAATTTATTCGATGACTTTACCATTTTTCCTTGGGAAGTCTTCAAAAAATTTTGGGTTTTGGCCCAATTAGCCATTTGAAACTTCTCTTTTGGGCTCAATTTACAAAGTATTGATGAAAAATGGCTTGGTTGAAGTAGATTTCAAAAGTGTTCAGACTAAATTCAGCCCAAGGGAACACATAAACACGTGTCGATTCATCATGTAAATGGGCCCAGGCCCAAAATATGAGAATGGGTTGGTTGCCTCATAGTGCCGCATGGCCCCCATTAAATTGTCCCAAGAAACTACTTGGTAATCTCCCCCAAAAAAAGGAAAGAAGCAAAAAAAAAAAAAAAAAAAAGAAGCAAAAAAAAAAAAATCTTTTTCATTTTTATAATTTTGATTTAAAAAAAAAATAAAATCAAATAAAGAAAGAAAGACCTTAACTAAACTGGTGGGTGATGTCTAGGCACATCTGACCATTATTAAGGTTTAAACAACTAAAATATGTCACTTTAATATGCACTTTACTAATATTATTATATGCAGACCCACTTCCCTTAACTACACAAGTGGGGTTAATAAAATATTGCTTTTTTTCAGTTCACAATTCATACACATTATTTTGCTAAAGGATCAATATGCCCTCGTAAGGAATTTTTTCTGATAAAAAACTAAACCAATGACAAGAATGTGTTTATCCTAAAGTTAGTGCACTTTTATTTTGCTAATTTTAATTGTGTGAGAAAGCTTTTAGGAGATGGGGCTTCCGATGGCCTCCGGCCTCATTTCTTCTTTCTTATTCTTCTTTTTCTTTTCTTTTTTGCTTTCTTTTTCAATAACTTGAAAATTTTTGACTCACCTTAACCTTAGCTGTGGCCTTCATCGGATTTGTCTTTTCTTTCCTCCTCTACCCTACTTTGATATTGCCTCCATGTCACCGCCGCCACCATCATTCTTATTTGTCATCTTCCACCTCTACTTTGTCAGATCTGCCGCCTCCCATTCCCAGATCTGCCACCTTCACCCTGACCTATTGCCTTCCATCGTTGGGTCTACTACCGTCACTGTCTGGAAGTTATGAGTTTGTGAGTTTTGTTTTTTGGTATGTTTGTTGCTTATTCACACAGATGAATGTAGCTTATGTATTTATCTCAGACTTTTTCTAGTGTCGAACTTTGACTTTTGTTTGGTGCTTTATTTGGGGATTTTCTTTCATTTTGAACAAGGTTTTTCTTCATTCGGCGTAAATTTCTTGTTGATTTCTTTGTAAGTGCCGTTTGGAAATATTGACTTTAATGAAAAATTTATTGATTAAAAAAAAATAAAAGAGAAAACTTTGAATAGAGATAAAGCCAAATCTGATTATGTGGGAGAGAGAGAGAAAAAAAAAGAAAAAAGAAAAAAAGAAAGAAACATGAGACAGGAAATCAGTGTGCCCTTAATAAATGTTTTTTTTTTTCTTTTCTTTTCTCTCTCTTCTTGTAAAGAATTAATAAATGGCAAGAATTTTTTTATTGATCCTAGCAAAGTGGACTTTTTTACTTCGCTAATTTTATTAATGTGAGGAAGCATCTGATTATAGACAGCCAACTATGATCATGTGATTAAAAGATAAGAGTAATGCTGTATTTTAATTTATGATTTTGAAAAGAAATATAAAAAAGGAAAGGAAAAAATATATATAGATAAAATGTGAATAAAATATAATTATATTATATATATATATATATTTTTTACAAATTTATGAATCAAATACAAACTAAACGAAGACATGACACAGGAGACCTGTGTGCCATTGTAAGTTTTTAATCCTAAACAATTTATAAGTGGCAATAATGTGTTTATTTTAATAAAAGCGCACTTTGCCAATTTTAGTCAGGTGAGGAAGCACTCAATCCATTATGATCCATGCAAAAGGAAAAGAATAGTATCATAATTAATATATTAATTGATAATATAACATTTAAGAAATTTTTAATATTTATAATTTGTATAATGAGTGAGGTGAA